AAAAAAAAAAAAAAAAAAAAGAGCGAGGGAGAAAAAGGCAAGAAGTGGTCTGTCCGGTGTGACCAGCCAGCGGGAGAGAAACACAGACTGCTGGGGACAGACTGGAGAGGAAGGGGGGGCAAACACACAGGTGGTCCAAGGGCAGGACGTCCCTGGCGGCGGCCCGCAGTTCCTGGTGTTCCCCGCACCTCAGCAGCTCTCCAGGGAGTCCAGGGTGCGCCCAAGTGCGGGTGCAAAACCCCCGCTCACGTGCAGCAGGGGACCCGAGCCCCCTTCCTCCCTCCCACCACCCACACTGCCTCGTGGAGCCGACACAAGGGCTTGTGCCCCCGCACTGGCCGCGTCGTGCACGCAGGCCCACACCCTTCTCTAGGGCCCCCTGCCAGGCTGCCCCGCAGGCCGGGTGCCCCTGGGGAGCATCCCACCCCCGAAGGGACACTGCTGACGCTGCTGCAGGGCTCCAGGCCACCGTCCTAAGTGCCTCGTACACACCCCTTCTTCCATCTGGAAGGCACCTGCCCAAAGGCAAAGGCAGGCTCTTCCCCACAGACTCTGCTCTTCTAGGAAGACCCCCAGCCCCAAGCGGCTGAGCTGGCCGACAGGGGCGCCTTCTCCATAGGCAGGTGCTGAGCTGAGCGGCCATAAGCCTCTGGAGACCATTCTGGAGGACGAGGCCGGCGAGGATCGCTGCAGGGACCCGGGACCCTCCAGGGCCGCCTCCCAGGAGCACGGCAGGAAGGGCTGGGATCTGCAGGTACGGCCCCTCCCACGCGCCCCGCGACGCCCTGCCCGCAGCCCGGCCTGAGCCTGTGTCCCTGCAGAGAAAGATGAAGCTGGCCCAGCGGTACCTGGCCCAGGCGTCCGAGGTGCTGCTGCAGTGCGTGCGGGTGGCCCTGGGCGGCTGCCTCCCGGACATCGCGGCGGCCGCCAGCCTGGAGATGGTGGAGTGCAGCGGCACCCTGGACCCTGTGGCCACCTGCCAGTTCCTGGCGCTGTCTCAGGTGTGGCTCTGTGCCCCTTCCTCCGGGCCCTTCTTGGCCACCTGGGGAGAGAGCGGCCCCGAGCACCCCGCGCTCCCTCCCGCCGGCGTCCGCCGGTCTCTGCCTTGAGAGCGGTGCTCAGCCGGAAGAGGGCGCTTCCGGCCACCGGAAGCAGTAGGGAAGGCCGCCCCCCGCCCAGGTTCCCTGAGCCGCAGCCCCTGTTACCGACATCCCCGTTGGCCCGGCAGGCCTCGTGCTCTTGAGGCTCAGAGCAAAGGGGTGGGCGGGTGCCGGGAGCAGCACGGCCTCCCGAGAAGCCGGCGGCAGGAGCGGCCGTGCAGCCCCGTCCGCCCTCGCGCGTGGGCGCCACCGGCCCAGGGCAGGGCTCAGGCCCCTGGGCCCCTCCTGTCTGGTTCAGAGCTGCTCGGCCTCAGAGATGATGCGGGACGTGCTGTTCACGGCCACGGACGACACCAGCAGCTCACAGCTGGCGGCCCTGCTGCGGCTGGAGCACCAGCTGAAGCGGAAGGGGAGGACGTCCACCAACTTGTTCGCCAGCGTGAGGCAGAGGCTGGCGGTCGTTTCCACGGTGAGCGAGCCCCCGGAGCCGGCCCCGTTCTCACAGCTGTGCTGCGTCGCTCTGCTGTGGCCGGCCTGACTGGGGAGGATTCGGGCCGGGTCCAAATCCTGGCTGCCCTCTTGTCAGCGCGCGGTTCTGGGGTGCCACTCACCCTCTGTGACCTCCTGTTCCTCGAGGGCCTCGTGGGGATGGGGGCCCGCCGCCTCGGTGACCCTACATCCCAGGCCCGCGGCAGAGGGCGGGAGCGACAGGACCCCCGAGGGTTCTCCTTCAGCCGCCGTGGAACGCTGCAGTCACCACACCTCCTCGTGCTGGGACGAGCAGCTGTGAAGAGGGGTATTTGAAGGAGCGGGACTCGGTGAAAACCTAGCAAGTCGGGAAGCAGCCTGGAGCCCTCTGGCTGGTCCCGCTCCCCTCCTTCCCTGTTGCTTCCGTGCACCTGTGTGGGTCTGACCTCGTCCCCTCCCTCCACGGCTTCCTGTCTCCCTCCGTCCCCTGTCTTGCTTGCGGTGAGGCGTCCTGTGCTCCATGGGAAGTTGAGGGGCGCCCCTGGTCCCTTCCCACCAGATGCCAGTAGCTCCCCCTCCAGTCGTGACACCCCGAGCTGTCCCCAGAACCGCCCCCTGCCGAGAGCCAGGGCCTTAGCCCCCGTGCTGGAAAGCCTCCCTCCTCCTGAGGAGCACTGCAGGCCCCAGGAGGTGCAGGGACCGCAGGCCGGTCCACAGACAGGCCGTTCCCCACAGCCCAGCTGCCCACCTTTGGAGGACACGTCCGTGTGTGTCACCGTGGCTGGGGTGATGGTGACCCAGCGCTAACTTCAGAGGAAACCTGAGGGACCATGTGCATCAGTGCACGTGCAGGGCTGAGGACAGAGCCAGACGCAGGGGGCACAGGAGCTCGGTCCAAGACGAGACCCAGTCCGAGGTGGGATGAGGTCCAAAGTGGAACAGGGTCCGTGGTGGGACGGGGTCTGAGGCGGGTCGGGGTCCATGCGGATCAAGTTCGAGGACAGGATGGGGTCCATGGTGGGACGGGTTCCAAGACAGGACAGGGTCCATGGTGGGACGGGGTCCGAGGCGGGACGGGGTTCGAGGAGGGACGGGGTCCATGGTGGGGCAAGTTCAAAGACAGGATGGGGTCCATGGTGGGACGGGGCCCGAGACAGGACAGGGTCTGAGGCGGAATGGAGTCAAAGACAGGATGGGGTCCATGGGGACAGGGTCTGAGGCGGGACGGGGTCCGTGGTAGGATGGGGTCCGAGGCGGCCACCTCTGTTGCGGGTATTGTGTCAACTCCTCCTCCTCCTTCTCCTGTTTCGAGGATCCTTGTGGGAGACCTGCACTGACTCTGGTCACAGACTCGGGGGTCGGCTGCACCTGGGGGTGGGGCGCAGAGCACAGCCAGGCTACCGCAGCGGCCACAGCAGGCGCCAGGTCAGTGGCACCAAACGCTGTCTTTAAAGGCCCAGCTATGGACACACTGAGAGCAGGCTGAGCTCCAGCTCCCGAGAGGGGACTCTGTCCCCGTCTGTCCCCGCATCACTGCCGGCCCTCTGGGACATGTGGCAGGCTCCTGACGACACGCCTGGGGACAGCGGCTACATTCTGGGCCGTGGGGAGTTTGCCTGAAAGCTTGTGGAAGGTGATGAAATCCATCGTGGTCTCATGGCGCCTGGGAAATGAGGGCCGTCCTGGGAGGAGGTGGCCTCCGGGACCCCGGTCCCCGTGAGATACCCCCCACGTGAGGCCTCTTCAGAGAGCAGGAGCACAGCATAGGAAACACGGACCGGCAGAAGGCAGTCAACCGGAGGGGAGAGGAATCGAAAAGACAGAACCAGGGATGAGCGCCATGGGAGGAACTCTCAGTAGGCCAAGCGCACTCCTAACCGGAGTCTCCGAAGCCAGGAGAGGGAAATGCGGCCCCAAGGCGATACTGACATGACCCGATGGCTCAAATTTCCCCAAGCTCACGAGGCCACAGGCTCGGGACCGCCAGCAACCTTGCACAGGACAAACACAGGAAGCTGCACCACGTCCATCCACGTGGAACTGCTAGTGCCCAGGACGGAGGCCCCGAGGGCAGCGGGACCGGAGCCACAGGCCCCTGAACACAGGCCAGAGGAGACCGCGGCCCGCCGACGTGCAGTGGAGACACGCTCAGATGCACAGAAACCCAGGCAGTTTGCAGGTATCCTGCAAGAAAAGAAACAAGGAGGTGTCGGACAGGAAAAGTAAGTCCCCAGAAGCACGAGAGAACCAAGAATACTCCAAAGGCAAACGTTTAGTGATAGGAAATAAAATTTGACTGCGTAAGACAGTAATTCTAACATCTTGTGGAGCTGAAATTATTTTGTGGAATTGATAGGCAAGACAGTAAAACAAAGAGCAGGAAGGATTAGATGAAGGATTAGACGATGCCGAGGGTCTGTCACTCCTCGGGAAAGGTAAAGTTACATCTTTATTAGACTCTAATGAGCCAAAGGTGAATGTCTTAGTTCCCAGGGTAACCACTAAAGTAATGTGTGACTAAGTTAATAAAAAGGAAAAAATCAAATAATAGTATTTTATTATCCCAAAGACAGGCAGAAAGAGCAGGGGAGGTGAGGGAATATAAAAGCATGTGGTCCCAGTGGGGAAAAGGCAGAGCAAAGTAGACAGAAACCCAACGGGTTTGTGGTCGTAGTAAGTATAACAAGCCGAAGACCAAGGCTGTCAGAGTGGATGAAAAGAAAAACAAAGTCCAGTTACGTGCTGCGTAAAAGGGGTACTTTTTACACACAAGGACCCGGAAATATTGAGCGGAAAAGATGAGACAGAGCATCTAAATCATGAAGTTACTACTGACACGAAAGCCGGTGACCCGGAATCAGTCAACAGGGAATCACAATCCTAAACCTTCACATACGATGACGGAGATTCAAATACCCAAAGCAGAAGGGATGGGAATAGAGGAGCCCTGGACAGGCCCACGTCTGGCGGGAGGACCCACGGCCACGTGGACGGCTGGACGGAGCGTGTACCAGAAGGGACCAGAGCCGGGCCGTGGCAAACCTGAACACGCCAACAGAGCGAGATCCTCCCATTTGTTTTCCAACCACAGTGAGATTGAATTAGATGTAATAGCTGAAAGAGACCGTTGCTTTGAGAGCATCATCATCGGTTAGTCAAAGAAGGAATCACAGTGAAATTTAGGAAGTGTTTTAAACCGAGTTAGAGAATGAAAACGCTGCATATCAAAAGCTGTGAGACTTGTCTAAAGCAGGGCGTAGAGGAAAAATACAGCCTTGACTAGAGGGAGAAGAATCTTAAAAACGGTAACTAAGATTTTGATTTCTAGAGGCTGGAAGAAAAACACCTAAGAAAAATAGAAAATAAAAAATAAGAAATACAGCAACAGAAATAGCGAAATTCGAAAACAAACATACAATAGAGGAGACCAACGCTGATAAAAGGGCTCCAAAGAGAAGATTGATAAAGTTGATGAGCATTTAGGAAGACCCAATAAAGAAAACAAAAAAAGGAAAAACAAAACAGTAAGATTCCAATATCAGTACCAGAAAGACATCATAGAGACCCTTTGGACATTACAAGGCTCGTAAGGGAATATTCTCTTTAATCTTACTCCAGTTAACTTGACGATTGGGATGGAATAGACAAATTTCTCAAAAAATACAACGTACAAGCTGACAGGACAGAAAATCTGAGTAATTTATTAGCTGTTAAAGAAATTGAGTCCTTTATTAAAAACATCCCCACGAAGAAAATCCCAGACCCAGTTGGCTTCACCAGTAACTTCTGCCAAACGGTGAAGGTACAGATAACCTCCCCAACGCTTCTAGAGTATAGGAATACTTCCTCTTTCTTTTAAGGTCTGCTAAGTCTCCATACTGGAAACCTAGTGGTGGCGCTACAAGGAAGGAAAATCTCTCTCATCGGCAGACACGAGACATTGGCCAGCCAGATCCTGGTCGTGCGTCAGCGTCAAATGGCCACGTTTCACGTGGCTTCATATTAAAAACATCAACGTAATTCACCATATTGATAGAACTTGATAAAGGACGTCCTTTAAACCCCGAGCAAACCTCAGCCTATCTGCTGAAGGGTTGGAAGATTTTCTCCAGCCAGGAGTGTTGGCGCCCCGGAGGCCGTGAGCGCTTCTGTTCTGCATCGTCCAGGGAGGCCAGAGGTGAAAGGTGGGGGTGAAGGAACAACAGTCAGCACAGAGGCCGGGAGCCCAGCCCGATGCGCCCATTTCGCAGGTCGTTAGAGAAGTGTCAGCTGCACTCCGCGTGCCAGGTGCAAACAAGCAGAAAAGGAAAATACCTGAGTGACACCGTCTTCAGTAGCAGCAGAACAATCAGTACCTGGGGGAAATCGGACACGAGATGCCCCTGGCCTCTCCCCTGAAAACTACAAACCTTCTGAGAGAAATCCGAGAAGATGTGCACAGAGGAGGTGGGCTGTGTGTGGGCAGAATGCTCCGTGCCGTTCCGGCGACCGTCCGCTCTCTGTGGACAAAGGGACAGGTGTGTGTGCTTCCTCCTTGGGCCGACTCTGGCTGTGTTCCCCCGAGTTCGTAGTCAGTATCGCTTTCTAAGAAAGTGGCCCGTGGTTGATGATGAGCCAAAACCACTTGACAGGTGATCCCGCACCCGCCCCCTGTGGAGCTCATTCCCACGTACCTGACCTGTCACTGGGCGGACAGGAGTCTCCGGGAATGGCTCCCAGAGAGAGGGTGCCCAGCACTGACCTGTCCTGATTCTCCTGGGCGGCCTTGTGAGCCTAAATGCCAAGTCACCCCGGGAAGACGTCCTATGGGCCATGAATCTGCAGTTGCCACAGAAGCCTCATCAGACTCCCAGCAGGCGTTTACCTTTGTAAGAACTGACGATCCAATTCTAAAATTTGTGCAGAAATGCCCACTTGCTATACAAAGTATCAGGACCTTGTTATTGACGCGATCAGCGTGTTATCGACCCATAGAGAATATATACACATACAGAGACAATGACCAGCGGCACAGAAGAAAAGTCTGGAAACAGACCCATCCACATAACGTCCAACATATGTCAAGGGTGACCCCGAGGGGCGAGGGGCACCGTGGTACAGATCCCGGTGACGGGACCGAGGAGGGCACCTGTCGCGATGAGCCCCGGGTGCTGCGTGGAAGTGTCGAATCACCACGTTGTACACCCGAAACTAGCATAGCAGCACACGCTGTACTTCAATACAAACTTAAACACAAGCAAGCCCGAGAAAGGGTCCCCGAGCTCACATCCCGTGGTACTGGGGATGTGCTCCCGTCAGTGAGAAAAAGACACTCCCACAGGAAAGAATGACAAGAGTGGGATTTCACAAAAGATACCCAAATGGTCGGTAGACATTTTTTTTTTTTTAATTTTTTTTTTTTTCAACATTTATTTATTTTTGGGACAGAGAGAGACAGAGCATGAACGGGGGAGGGGCAGAGAGAGAGGGAGACACAGCATCGGAAACAGGCTCCAGGCTCTGAGCCATCAGCCCAGAGCCTGACGCGGGGCTCGAACTCACGGAGTGCGAGATCGTGACCTGGCTGAAGTCGGACGCTTAACCGACTGCGCCACCCAGGCGCCCCAAGTCGGTAGACATTTTTAA